CAATGATTGGTTTGGGAAGTTCCTCAGGATATAACACTTGAAAATGTCTTGGCATGTTCACGACAACAGCAGTGCAGTTTGCGCAGCGTGTGTGTTTGATGACTGTGTTTTGCGTGTGTGAAAATTGGTAAGTGATTACATCCATGATATGCATGCGTGAGGGATGATTGTTTTATTTGTCTGAGGAAAACCATTATGTTTGAATGAGTTGAAGATGATTGTATTCTTATGATTGTTTGCTCGTGGTGATTGTACAGTGTGTAATATTGTATTTGTGTATGTGTGTGTGTTGGGAGCTTTTACTTCCCACCATTAGCTCCAAACCCTTTTTTGAGCAGGCGGCTGATTCTTCCCTTGATTACTATTTAGACTTCCACTCGTTTACCGTGCGCCATCTCTCCTTTGTTTTATCTCTCAGTTTATACCTTCTGCTAGCTCATTATTCCTCTTTCTCTGGAATATTTTTATTTTCTTTGCCCACAGTTCATAACGTGGCCACTTAGGTTCAACAAGAGGCCAGTTGAAGTTTTCCTCCTACTGTTCTTTTCTTTTCTCACAACAATTTTCAATTACAGTTCCCTCTCTCACACCCTGATCACCAAACACACTGCTAACAGGCTACGCTTCCATTGGTTTTGTACGCCGCCGATCGCACATGTGTATACTGTGCTCGCGTGCACCTGCAAAGGAGGCGGCGGCCCTGATCGGCGGCGGCCCTGATCGGCGGCGGCCCTGATCGGCGGCGGCCGCCCGATGCAGGCGGCGGGCCGTGGAAGATGCGGCAGGGTTGTTAAAAGTGTTGTTAAGAGAGCGGCTGGCAGCTGTTCCTGACAGGTTGGGGATGGAAGGACAGATGGTGTTTGATTAGCGAACAGACCGCTGATGGAAGGAGAGATGGAGGGATGATGGGAGGAATGAGGGAGGTGGGGTGGATGTCAGTGAGTATGGGGGTAAAAAAGAAGGTGGAGGGATGGATGTAAAGATGGATAAAAAAGGAAAATAGATGATTGATCAATGGACAGATAGATTATGAAACAATGGTTGACTTATAATAAATGGATAGATGTAGAACTTTTCCACATGTGGGTTTTTTTTCTTTTTCAAATTAGGGACTGAGATACAACTTAACAGAAAGAGGAATCAATTGAATGCAAAGACAGATGGAAGAATGCATGGACAACAAAATAGATAGAAGAATGGGAGCGAACGAGAAGCCTGACCTGACGGAGAAACAAAGATATGCAGAGCCTGCTGGGAGGAGGAAGTGAAAACGCTGTCGGGGCAGCTGTTCTAAACAACAATTAGCTTCATCCACCTGGGTGCCATCTTAAAGAACTGATGCAAGTGAACATGCAGCGCTGGCTGATTAAAGTCTGTTCAACAAGCCAATAGTGAGGGCTGCAGCGAGTCCTGGTCCAATTCAATCAGTCAATATTTGAATGATATCTTGAAGTTACTATGTTGAAATTACACTCAATAAAACTGAGGTTAGTTTTCCGACAGGTCAGAATGAGGTCACACAAGGTGAACTCACAGATTAAATGCTCTATTTTGCAAATGTGTGGATGAGGGAGTTGAGGCAAATGAAATATTTAAAGGTACAGTGTGTAGAATTAAGTGACATCTAGTAGTGAAGTTGCATGTTGCAGATGATTACCCCTCACCTCACCCTCCCCTTCCAAACAGGAAAGAAAACCTCAATAGATCCCTTTCACCTAAACCATACACGCTGAACCTTTAAATTATTTTTTAGAACCATGAATCAGGTTCCACAGATGCAAGGAGATGGACGTGACATTCCCTACATCAAAGTTTTAGCTCGTATAGTGTATAAAAATGGACGTAGACACAAAGTCTGGAAAGTGAACACTAATAGATTATGACATGCTTGGGGCGTAGATGATGTGTGATTGACAGATACTACTGTCCAATGTGTGCTGTCCACCCCCCGGACAAATTGCCAAAGTCAAAAACGGAATTTCAAAAACCGATGGGTGACGTCACGGTGGGTTAGTAACCAATGAGCTGAAGGCTTGACCAGTTGGGACATCACAACAATGTGGGTCATCATGCACCTTAAAAGACTGGTGGAAACATTGTTGTTAATTATACAGATCATTACAGTTGAGATAGTAGTAGAAATGCAAGCCAATCGGCCGATAACTAAATAATACTCTAAAAACGTAGTTGTTGGATATTAGATCACAATTACAACTGTGATGTCTGGCTTTTTTTGTGTGTGATTATTCTCTTTATAGAAATTGTTATTTTGTAGCTGCGTAAATAAACTGCTTCGTCTAGGGCCATCCACTAACTACCAACATGACAGTGGATGTGAATAAAGAAATCTCACTCTACACACACACACACACACAGACACAATCAGTTCAGCAGCAGCAGTTAACACAGAGGCGACAGTTAAAGCTATTAGAATGATGTTGTGGAGAGATTTTCTCCATAATAAACTCGCTCCCTCCTCCATAATAACGGCGGCTATTACCCAAGATGTATCGCTGTCGCGCCATCTCCGCGGACAGTAAGTGTGTTTGTGTCTGCGCGAGTGCGTTTGTGTGTATGACGGGCTGATTGAGAATGAAACAATCAGCAGGCCAACACAAACACAGCTGTTTTATTGTTGCGCTGCTCAGATGTGCTTTCACAGGCAGACGGCATGTGTGTGTGTGTGTGTGTGTGTGTGTGTGTGTGTGTGATCATATAGAGCAAAGAGTGACCCCACCTCCTGTTCAGCCCCTCCTGTTCTAATGAAAAGCTCTGGCAGTGGAAGCTAATGCACGAGATGCTGCTCATCTCGGCACGTCTGTATATCTGTGATTTTTTATTCTTAAAGCTGAAATGTGCAACAGGTTTGTTTTTATGACGTGTCTTTATTATGTCCATCTGTGTTGGTTTAGTCCTGCATACGATTAACTACAAGATTAAGCAACACAGCACTACCTTATTGTCCTCGCTGTTGTTTGGATTTGCTGAAAGTTTAATATTTGAGTTTTTATGTCGAATATCTAAATGAATAATCAGGCTCGATTTCAGCAGGGTAAAGTCTAGGAACCTGCCTGAGTAGGTAACATCGGCAATTGCCCTCAACTCAGAGGAGACCCTCGAGAATGGCCAATTTCATAAGTCCACAGCAATGTTAATTTTGTTGGAACCCTCTTAAATTCTGAGACTACAACAACCCCTCTACACCCTAACAAGGCCCCATGCCACTAGCTCTCTGCCAAAAGCTTTTTAATATTATAGGGTTTGTTTAAAGACTAAAGTCTCATTTATCTGGCATTTACGTACGAAAAGAGATGCGTCCATTTCTAGCGATGTAACCGTCACTGACCACATGCATCTTTTACGCTGGCATAGCTGTTGAGCAATACATTCACTAGAGGGAAGCGCTCAGTTAAGCCTCTGTCCTTTGGTCATCTCACTTGAGCTACTGACTTCACTGCCCCCCCACGGTTTCCGCTGGCACTGCCCAGGTTCACTCATAAGCTTCTGGAAGACGTGCAAAATATTGAGCCTAAATGAGCCTTAAAATGCCTAAATGTGCATGTACGATGTGCCTGGGATGGTGGCAGGTGTTATTAGTTGACTGTTCTACCAACGACTGAAAAAGGTTCTTCAGTGAATACAACCCCAGACCTTCATGAATCATGGGAAAACAATTGGAGACGTAAGTTGGAATCACGCGGCTAAAATCCAACTTTTGATAAAGGATAAAAACTTTGTTTAGTGTCCTTTATCACTAGTGTAATTGCTAAAGGTTTATATTAAGATAAATTATATATTATATACCTAATGATAACACAATTAAAATGCAACATCCCAGTAAACCAATGAAATCAGAGCTCTCAGCATCTCCGTCTTAATTATTTGCTTTTATTTTGTAAGGTGGCTAACTCCCTGCATCACTTTTTTTTACCTTTATTCCCACTTGACTCCTCCAGAGTGGAAAACCATCTTCATAGAAACACGATAATTACAGGAGGTGTTCCTTTACAAGGTTATAAACAGCTTTAATATGCAATTTTCGCCTTTTTTTTGTTTTACCTCTGGCAATATTTGCATTATTACATGCAAGCGCTGCCACATCACTGTCCCAATTTTATTTAAACTTAAGCACCGTTGAATTTCTCGCCATTGTTTTTACACACCTTGGTTTAAAGAGCGAGAGAAGGGGGGGAGGAAAAAAAAAGAGGAACATTGAGTGCTGGCAATTTGTCCCATGCTGGTGATGGTGGTTGGCATTGTGTGATGCCAGTTAGTGTTTGGCGCCAACACACAGAGGGCACGGCGAGTGTTTGTGTGTGTTAGGGAGGTAAGTGGTGTGAGAGGAGGGTGGATGGAATAAAAGCTACGAGGAGGGAAGTGAAGAGGAGGCAGGAGAGGTGGAAAAAAAAGGGTGAGAGTGATATCAGTGATGGAGGGCTGAGAGAGAACAGAGACAGGATAGAAGAGTGAGAAGGATGTTAGGGCAGCAAGGGCAGACGGGCCTTGTCCCTGTGCCTTTGTGTGTGTGTGTGTGTGTGTGCGTGCGTTTGTGTGAGTGCAAGTCTGTACCTATGTCTTTTTGTGTGTGTGTGTCTGTCCCTGTGTCTTTGTACTGGCTAATCTAGACGTCAGCAGCTTTTTGAGGCTTTTGTGCTGACAATAATCACACAGCGCTCCTCTTTTCAATTCATCAGCAACAACAACAAGGGATCACATGTCCCCTTTACAGAATCCAGAAAGAGAGAGAGAGATAGATAGATAGAGAGAGAGAGGGAAAAGGGGAGGGAGGCCATGGACGGAGTTAAAGTGGCCATCATGTTGCCTAGTTACTGCCTGGGTTGATGGTGATTTGGTGTGTGTGGGCAGGCGCATGCAAACAGGTCAACGCCCTCTGCACCTCTACTGAGTGCAAACACAAAGTACAGTCACACACTCCAAAAAAAACATCCCCTCTGACTTTTTTTTTTCAAAGAATAATTTATTTCATGTTGCAGTGTGATGGATAAACAATGAGTAAACCACTGGTCATATCTGTAGCAAGCATTAATCATCATCATCATCATCATCATCATAACATTAATAGGAATAATTATTTCAATTATAAATAATAAAAGTATCAGAGTGACCAGAGTAATTATTACATCTATACAAGCTACAAATATCAGCATTTTGTTGTATGTCATCTTTTTATTTTCTGCTGTTAAAACCTTAAACACTTCACACACGACCCGCCTGGTGCAGCTGCCCCTCTTGTTCGCCCAGAGAGTAATATCTGAAACGAAAACCTCGCTTCCATCCCGCGGTTTGTCGCTTTTGATGACGGGGGGGTTAAAATGTCAGAATGTGGGAAATTCAAGTTAATTTTTTAAAACACACCTGATTGTAGACAGTGTGAAAACCAGAGAAAGCCAAGAAAGTTTTTTTACACAAAAACTACAAAACAGACTTCTTTAAAATGCAGTATGGGTCAGGGGAGAAGCCACTGAACTTTGGTGCGGATCTGGATCAGGGGGCTAATCCAGGAATGTTTTCCAGGAAATAATTCATGGATCTTGATTTAAAAAACACCAGACATATTTTAGAGGATTGATATCTGAGTGTGTGAAATTTGGAGTAGCATTTATTGATTTTTAAGGGGACTGTTGGACCTTGGTGGAGGCGCTATATTCTATTGATCTAAGGACCAGATGAAACTGGAATGACTGTTGAAATTAAGCAATCTGACTTGCATGAATCCACAGTTCTTTAAAAATGTAATAAAAAAAGATGTTAAAGATTCTGCGAAACATGACATATGAATTAAAATGAAACGCAAACAATGACAATTGGTACAGCACCAAACATGGCCTTAGTTCCCCTTCCTGCATTTATCCACTATCCAACAACAGTACAAAACACAGAAATGCCAAAAAACAAAGCAACTGACGTATATTTTCCCAGCCCTCATCAGGCATTCCCAATTTTCTATGAAGTAAGTGCCTAATGAGGGTTTCAAACATGGCTATTGAGTGATTTCTCTTGAGTGCTGACAGTGTGTGGGAGCTGAGGTTTGTGTTTCTGTACAAAAAAGAAAAAGGGTCACTTTGAAATGTCAATTTTGCAGGTTCAGGCTGTAGTCATGAGTAGAATGAGTTGTGTAAATGCATAAAATCTAAATGGAGATTAGGAGAATGGGTTGCTCTTTAATCTGGTTTCTAAGATTTAGAATAATCTCATTATCAACACATCAACAGATTTTTGACTTTGTCTTCTAAAATCGTAAAAGTCAGGATTTTTTCCTGTCGGTGCTCTGGGTGAATGCAACATGAGCCAAAAGGGGCAGCCGGGGGGGGGGGGGCACAGTCAAGACGAACACCCAGAAAGTCTCAGTACAGTAAGAAGAGGAAGAAGTTAAAAGAGGAGGGGAAATGAAGGGAAATAAACAACTAAGTTTTTTTGGAATTGCTACTGTGCTTTCCTCTATGTGCGTGTGCGTGTGTGTGTGCGTGTGCGTGTGTGTGTGCGTGTGTGTGTGTGCGTGTGCGTGTGTGTGTGGCTGAAGAGGTGTAAGCTTATATAAAGAAGAAAAAATACAGAAACATCACTTTTTTTTTCCAAAATGTCCATGTAACATCCACAATAAAAAGATTTTTTAAATATATTATCATCTTCATTTTTAATTTCGCACCCAATCCCAGATCTTGGGCTGAAAACTTAATGCTCCTCTTCATCAGTGAAGCAGGATGAAGAGCGAGGTGGAGGAGAAAGAGGGGATGGGGTTTCAGGCTGGGAGGAGCTTTTCTGTAAGTGCAAGGATATTCAATTCTCACCGGTTTGCTTTTAATTCATAAAAGTCTCTGCAGGATTTGTTAATCTGAGGATCATCTGACTCACGAGAAGAGGGATTTTTTCTTTTTTCTTTATAAAACATCTCGAAGGCGGGTTTGTCTTTTAAAAGATGGGCTGACCAAAAACAACCACCAGCAAACCTCCACCCGGAGCCTCCGAGTAGAATAACTACAAGTCTCTGCATCGTCAAACTCCTTCAAACTGAAGACCTCAACCTAACTGTGCGCCTCTAGAAACGTGTTCTCACAGTCTGCTCACAGTCCGCTCAGGTTTGTCTTGCTTGCCGTGTTTCCTCCCTCGACCTAGTCAGTCGTGGAGGAGTTCTTGTAGACAGTTGGGGGATTTAAAGACGTCTGGGACCTCGCTGTCCAGTTTGCAGATCACCTTGTAGATGGCCTTCTTCCAGGAGGGGTCAGCGTCTTTGCCTGCCACGATGGCGTTGAAGAACTCCCGGAGAGTCACCTGAGCCACCTCCAGAAATCGATCAGGGACCTGAGGGTGAAAGAAAAAGGAAATCATGGGTGACATGTTTGTTTTTGATTGTTTAAATTGAAGAGGAACTTTTCTTCCATCACCTTCTCCTTTCTGGTCCATATTTTAAATGTACAAGTATTTATGACCCTGAATACTCTAAATATACAGACGTGCTACTTCTGTCCAGTACAGCCTTAAACCCAGCTTTGCACTAAAAGAACCAAGAGTTTGGTTATGGGTCAGGCCATGTTCAGACAAATGGGTTTGGTTCAGGTTCGGTTTCATAGGATGGACCGTTCACTCAATTTTTTTGTGATCGGTGAAAAAGTCGGGCTCGGGTCAATAAAAAGACGTGTCTACATTTTTAGCAAAAAAATATATTTTTAAATGAACAAATACTTACTTAAAAATTGAAGGTGCATTTTTCCCATAAGTAAAATGTCGTTTTTGAAAGTGAGAACAAATATCAAAAAGTTTTCTTTCAGAAAAGTGATTGTGTGATGGAACTGGATTGCAGATTTGGGTTACGTGGGCGTGTGTTTCAGGTGTGCATATATTTCTATTCCTGTAGCAGGTTCTTCTTTAGTGGTGAACTTCCTCTAACTGTACTTCCCCTTTCTTAACAGACCGTGGGTGTGTGGGTGTGGGTGTGGGTCTGTGTGTGTGTGTGTGTGTGTGTGTGTGTGTGTGTGTGTGTGTGTGTGTGTGTGTCTGGTCTGTGCACACACTCACACATAATGACAGATGACACACTCAGTCCTTGACAATGGCAGGTGAACAGTTGTCTGAGATCTTTTACTGTGTGTGTGTGTGAGTGTGTTTGTGTGCGTGTGTGTTTAGAGGGCGGAGTTAAAACGGTTGCAGGGTTCCAATTGTCCTTTACCCGTGCAGGTGCAGGCATAAATATACTGTAGTCACAAGGCTGTGTGTGTGTGTATGTGTGTGTGTCTGTGTGTGTGTTTGATGCGTGTTTAATGCTGCTTATGTGCTCATAGCCGTGTTTGACAGCAAAACACTGACACACACAAACATACACACATTGTTCAGTTTTTTCTGCCCTTTCTCCCGGGGGCAAGATCATACAAAGACACTAAACAACCCCCCCTTGCTCTTTTTTCTTCTTTGTCGTGTTTTCGTCATGCAAAAGCACAAACACACACGAGGCAGACTCCTCCAGATGAGTACATGCTCCCCAACACCCCAACAAACTAACACTTGCCTGTGTAGAGGACAGCATAGTGCTGTCTGGGTGTAACCCCGTCACGCGTGGCAGGACACGCCAAGGTTAGCCGCCACCAGAACGGATGAATCACCCTCCACACACATACACACACTCATAGTCAAACACACACCCCCACCCTAAATGTTTCCCTGGACTCTCGTATACTCCGTCTCCCCTCACCTACCGTCTCTCTCTCATTTTTAGCTGGCCCCTTGAGACCACAGTTATTTCAATGAGGCCCTCTGTCACTGTCTTTGGTATAGACACTACTGTGCGCACACACACACACACACACACACACACACACACACACACACAGACACACTCCAATCGTGCACAAATCCAAGTTTAACCTTTCCAGGTGAGAACTTGTTGTGCTTATGCCAACAGGGTAGACTCCTCACTGTTTGTACTTTATCACAACTTAAGTGTTTGTATTTCAGAACCGTCAGAGCCAATGTTTTTGCTTGGATGATCTGGACTGTTTTATTTGGAGGTGAAACCAAATATGAAGTTGTGATGACACCTCACTGCACAGGATGTGTGTGTGTGTGTGTGTGTCCGCACATTTACAACTAGTCATGAATCAAAGTTAAAGCAGGAAGTCACCCGTAAACGGTTTCATTATCATTTTGACTCTTTCATTTCCTCCTTTTGACTGACCTCGCAGTTTAAAACCAGTCAAATAATCTTTAGTTTCTTCCCCCGTGCTGTTCTCTCATCACTTAATGGATACGGTTATATTATTAGAGACGTGAATGATATCTACAAGTGCAAAAATAGGAGCACGTCGTTGCTGCTTACGCAGTTTTAAAAAGGCTAAAAGTTTTTGTTTTACGTCTGCAAGAAAATAAAAGGAAGCCCCAAAGTCAAGCTGCTGTTTTTAATAGCTGCTGTGAAAGTGTCCACTGGGAAAAATAAAAGTTGAAACCCGAGCTTGATCTTGAAGATGAATGTGCCTTTGAGGCGTCCTCTCCCTCTTGGATTACATCACCCCCCATCTCTTAGTTGTTCAAATTTGCTCTCATCTTCAGAAACATTGTCCTGGGATGACATTAAACTGTGGATTTGTTTTTTGTTTTTAAGTATTTCAAGATATTAGAGTGTTTAGCTTCTATTTTTTGACATTCAAGGTTGTAGCTGTAAAAATCCGGGTGCTGTCTTTACATTTGTCCATTGTTTGTGATCGATATCTTAAATTGCAAAGTGACCTTGACCTAGGAAGGTCCTGGCCTTTTACAGGTCAAGGTCTACAACGGTCTTTGTGTTGCAGTGCTGCGTCCGCATTGTTCCGCACGTTGACTGGCATGTTTTTTTAAATATGTTTCAGGACGGCGTGTGTCATCACTGGAGCAGCGAGAGGACTCAAAGTGCTGAAACAAGACGACGACGGGGAGGGGGAGAAGGAGACTGCTGATTCACAGAGAGAGGTAGGGAAACACGAGCAGAAAGAATGAAATGATGCCGGGAGGATATTGTGTGTCCGGTTTTGGGTATCAGCTAGACTGGACAACACACGCACACACTCACATACAGGAAGACACACACTTGGGTCCAGATGCCCAGATTTGTCTGGCCGTCGTAAATCAGTCCAATAAAGAGATCTAAATTAGGCCATCATCAATACAGATGGGCCTGTTTCCCCTGTGTGTGTGTGTGTTCGTGCACGATTTACTCCTGGCTTGGATCTTGATATGATGTCTCGTTGCCAGGAGAGAGGGAGCGAGTGAGGAATGGGGAAAGTGGGAAAGAGAAAGAAAGATAAAGAGGAAGAAAGACACTTCCAGTAAACACAATTCGCATGGTTGCTCTGGTTTGGTGGGTAAATATTGGATGAAGGGAGGCTCAATTACTCTCTTCACACACACACGCACACACACTCAAGCACACACACACACACACACGCAGAGGACAGGAGCCTTTAAATCTCTAAATTGCTGCCCAACAAAGACGCCCACTGGGACAGCCTCCCTCTTTTTTCCTTATCTCCTTCCTCTCTGTCTCACTCGTCTTCCTCCTCCTCCTCCTCCTCCTTGTTGGCTCCCCTGCCCCTCATCTCCTCTTGGAAATGCATTCTTTATCTCATGACAGAGCTCACTTAAGCATTTATCTTTCATCACACCTTTAAACCTGTGGTATATTTTGAGACGTTTGAAGTGAGCAGTGTTGACAGACAACAGTCGATGCCTTCAAGACGAGTCACCTGCATGAGGGCGACTTTAACCATTTACTGCTCATCCTCAGTCATTTTCCACTGTTATGCACTTTACTGTCATTTGCATTTTCCTATTTATCCATCTTTTTCTTTTTGGCTTCATCTTTATCTCTAGTAAAGTTAAATTAACCTTTTACATGTTTTATTGTGGATGTAAAGTTATAGTCAGTTTTATTGAAGCATATCAACAACAAATACATAGCTACATGAATGTCAGTGTTTCTTTTATAAACAATAAGCTCCACATAGTACAGATTTAATATAAATAGACAAAAAAAATCTACCTGGACGAATATATACCCCTCTGGTAACAACAACAGTAGATGCTTGTTTGCAATAAATACAGGAAAAATAACATTGTTAGTGTGAGGAGTCAAAACACAAACAAGCGTCCACCTGCAGAAACTAAAAACCTGATGTGCAGTACTAAGCGCTGAGCAACAGCTAAATTAGTTGCTTTTCTTTTCTTTTTTTTACAGTGTTGCAGTCCAAGAGCACAACAGGGCACTCAAATATTTTTTAGAATAAAAGGAAAGTCCTTTCCAAGGAGATTACTTCTTTTATGGACACACTTGTCCCATTTTAACACATGATCATTTATTGCCTTTTCTTTCTTTATCCATCTGCAATGACAGTCACAGGTTCAAAATTTAAAAAACGTCATACTCACACAGGTCCCAGACCTGACCTGACAAAGATGCCCACACTTTCGGATTGGTCAAAACGGTTCAGTGTCATGCTAATCATAGCTGACAACAAGATTTTATTGCATCTCTGTGTGTTGTTGTTCATTCTGTGCGGCAGTAAAGAATTGTTTTTTGTTGTTTATTTATGATCTCTTTTTGCTCTTTGAGGTCATTATTTCCTGTTTTACTCTGTAGCATATCTCTTACGTCTCTTGATTTTCCTTGTGGATTGGTTTTCCCAATTTGCTCTCATCCCTTGTTTTTCTAGAAATTGTTGTTGAAGATAAAACACGAAATAACAGATGGCTGAATTAATATTCAAAGATATCTCCTAGGAATCAAGGAAAATAGTTGCATTGAAAAACTATTTGTTCCGTACTTAAAATAATAATGAAATAATGAATTCAGTTTTAATGACTAACTAACACTGAAGCATTTTTAATCACCTGTCTTCTATCGTCTTTCTCATTTCCTTAACTTCAACAATCTGTAGTCATCACCTGCTCTCTCTTCTCCCCTGTCCTTTCATTACTTCCTCCTTTCCTCCTTCCCTACTCCTCTCTTCTGAGCAAAAGTCACTCCTCTTTCTCAGACTCCGTCCATGAGACTGATGCAGACGTCTGCTCTGGCTGTGTGTTTGCGTGACCTCAGCAGACTCGGCTCTCTCTCCTTTACCTTTTCCTCCTCACTCACCGCCATGCACAAAATAAAACACGCACACACTGGGTTCTTAAGAAACGACTGCACAAACACCATATGCTTGATTCTGAAGGTGTACAAACAGAAATAAACTGTGTTCTTCCTTCTGTTCTCTTCCTCAGTGACTTCCCTCAACAATGACACTGTTAACTTGTGTGTGTGTGTGTATGTGCATATTTGTTAAGCCAGTTATTAAGTAAGTGCTTCTTTATGTTTAGTTACATTCATTCATCAGCAATAATCTTTCCGTTTCAAACTATTTCTAGTCTTTCTGTAAGATGTGGCTCCTTACAATTTCAGATGACTCCGCCCCCCCACCCCACACCCACACATACCCTCCATTTTGTTGCCAATCATTCTCTCCGTGGCCTTGAGGTGCACGTTACTGTTGGTCAGTGGAGTATTTTTTTCTATCACTAACACAATACTGGAGCGCTTTCATCTGCTGCTCCTTCTGCGAACTGTCCAATGCTGTGTGTGTGTGTGTGTGTGTGTGTGTGTGTGTGTGTGTGTGTGTGCGTGTGTGTGTCTGTGTGTGTGTGTGTGTGAGACTGAGTGGATAGAGCATCTGCTTCCTTTTTCCTCCTCTTCTCGCTCACTCTCTCTCACTTTTCCACAATATCAGGCCTGGCTTTAGTCACATACACCCTGGCAGGAAAACACACACACACACACACACACACATACACACACCCACACACACATACACACACACACACACTGTGGATTGCCCTTTCACTCATCCTCTTCCCTGTGTTTTCCTCTCATCGCTTCTCCTTCAGAAAATACAAATAATGAAACTTCACACAAATGAGTAATTTCTTTATCACAAATATAGAAGCGACTGTGGCCTTAACATGTTAGATAAATAAAATGCATGGTAGTATTGTATGTATTGGGTATCAAGTACTCTTTCACAATGGAAAGGTTTATAGCAATAGTACACCTGACTGTATCTCTATATCCTTTTTCTCCCAATTTTGATCTCCATCTATCTGAGGAGACGTGACAGATCATGCTTTCATTTTCCTAGCTTCATTCAATTTCGGCAAACACAGATTCATTCATTAGAAGGACACTGTAATTTCCATGATATTTTGGTTTTAACCTCCAAGATGTATTGCTCTTCTTTACCAGCAGAAGTCTGGTTGATTTTGTTTCTGAAGAACGACCCTGCATTTGTTTTGTACAAGGCCTCTGCGTGGTTACCACTGCATCCACAGAGGCTCCATTCAAATGAAAGAGCAGGGCTTCATTTGTCCGAGGCTTTGAATAAGTCTGTCTGGATGTGGCCTTTTATAGATTTTATTTATTGTTGTTTAAATGAATGCAATTCTTGTGTCGTCATCCAGAGTCTTGAAAGATTAAAACGGAAATAGCCTTCAAGATTATTGCCTGGGACATTCCCTCAAGGGCTTAAGAAGACACTTGGACTTGTCTCAGTCAGTCTAAAAACAGCTCCCGTTGTCGGGTTTGATCCCTTCTTCAAGGTTCCTTGACCAGCTGTTTATTTAAGGAAGATGAGGCAATGCTCCTCTTTAATCTATGTCTGTTCTGTTCCTCCATGTTCCCTCGTGCATGGCACCCGATAAATAGAGCAGCCAGCAAACTGGGGCTAAGGTGCTCTCTGACACAGTCACCTATATTTGCACCAAACAGATAGCCGCCATTCCTGAGTGGAGCAGAAAATGAACAGCGCTGCAAAGATCACACTTGCATGGACATAAAGTTTAAAAATCGGTGTGAAATTGAAGGTATAAGTGGAGACTGGAGGTTCCTCCAGGACATCAGCAATATGTTTCCTTTCTCTGCTGCTCTTCTGTCAATTAGTCACTGATCTCACTGTCACCAGGACAATGGCAGTAAAGTTTCTCTTTGTTCACGCTGCATGTGACTGAGAGGAAGGGTCTGCGTCCTGAGATTGCGTCTATGTGTGTGTGTGTGTCTGCTCTCACTGTCTCCACGAGTGTGTGTTTCTTGGTTTTGTGTGCAACTGCTGCGTGTCTTCGCATCTCTGCATGCTGTCGCTTTGTGTGTGTCCATTCATACACGTGCTGTGCTTCCTTGGATCGGTGTGTACTGCGTGTGTGTACTGCGTGTGTGTGTGTGTGTGTGTCATCCATAGAGGACAATAGCCTGGGTCATCTGACTGAGAGGCTGCAGACCACTAGTATCACATGACAGAGGCTGAAGGCCACGTCTTTGTTACCAGGCCTATTGTTGAAGCTAAGGAGACAGCTGGGGCAGGGGAAGGGAATCACTGCATGCACAAGACGCGCGCGCACACACACACACACACATACAGGAAGACCATACACAGGGACACACGCGCACATATACACCGCCCCCTCGTGACTCCAATCAGGCTCAGTGACAAAGATGATTCGTTCTTCTGAACTGGTATACCACACACACACACGCACACACACACACACACACACAACACACACTGTGGATAGCTATAATTATAGTGACAGAAACTGGCAGGTGGCATTATCTGTACCATACCACTTTCTGTCAACTAGCAGCGGAGACAAATAGACTGTGAAGACGACTTGGTCCTCATACTCAGTGACATTGAGTGGCAACATTATTTTTACAACATAACACAGACCCGTCTATATTTATAGATTATATATGCATTTTTACCTACAGTCTACTTCTAAGGTTATAGAGACAGATGGAGATATGTCAAATATTGAAAATGTGATGTTTTCACTCTTATTTATTAAATTGCTGGAGAGGGTTGCAACAGGGAGCTATGCAGGGAGGCGCAGTCTTCCTTATGCCACGACAGTTTCCCTGTACAAGAAATCACAGCACCAATGACAGCTCCCTCTCCCCAACACTGCATCTCGCCTCAAAAGACATAGAAAAGTCCTGTTGCCAAACTTTTGTCCCGCTAAATTCTAATCGCTTTTTGTTGATGATGTGCTTTTATTCGTTTGTATTTAACAGTCCACAACAAGCCGTAAGCAGTACCGAGTATATTTCAAGGATGTCAGTTGTGTACAAATGACTTAGTCACTTACCAACCTCATCAAATTGTAGTGAAGTTGTTGCCAGCGGTGAAACTACAGTGTGTAGGTCTGTGGACTTTTGTGTGACAAGCCTCACTTTACACATTAATGTATGTAAAACTGAAGATGTTGCACTGGATCTGAGATCAGTTGAGGACTAGTTTCCTGGCCATGACATGTTTTTTATTGCAATCTTTGTCTATTTGATGCTGTAGTCCCCTTCATCAAAGACAGTTAAATGTAACCTTCATCTTATTCTTTAAACCGACATCACGTGAGATGTAAGATGTAAGAGAGAGAGAGAGCAGAGTAGGAGAAAGAGGGAGGAGAGGAAAAGAAAGCAGGACAGATGTAGTGTTTGCAATTCTCTGCGTCTCTAAAGGCTGGTCTGCTACTTGAGGTGTGTGTGTGCGTGTGCACGTGCCTTCTGGGTAGGTTACTTATAGAGAGGTGAGGACGTCAGAGAGCAGGAGAAGATGTGAGGAAGAATAATGATAGATTCAGGGCCACAGGATGGAAACAAACTTTAATATATTGCACTGTGCGCCGATTCATTGAAACATCACTGGCCCCCATACAAATAAAACAATAAACCCAAACTTCAGCACTAAGGCATTTAGGCTGCAGAGAGTTTTCTATGAGAAGAGAGAACAGATAGAAGGCCCACTCTGAGAATCGATTCCTGAGAGTCGAGCGCCGCCCCCGTGTTCAACGTTCTCGTATGAAGAGGAAGTGGAAACGATGAGTGAATAGATGAATAAGGACGAGCGAAAGGACGACAAAGAATCACAAACGGCAGAGAAAGACCTGAGAACTTTAGCCTTTCATGAAGTGCAGAGCTTATGAAACCAGATAGCCCTGAAATGTGAGTGTGTGACCACTCTGTGGCCTCCAGGTGTGTGTGTGTGTGTGTCGTTCAAAGTCAAAGGGCAGATTTTGGTCGCAACCACACCCACCCTTCAAGAGAGGATATCTCTGCTCTTTGAGATGAACACAAATGAGTATCTGTGTGTGTGTGTGTGTGTGTGTGTGTATATGGCGCAGCTGTGCCATCATTTGGTGCTGACAGAGCCAGTGAGGATCCTTGAACTGGAAAGATGAGAACGTCCCTTAGAAGGCTTCATAAAAATGTCTCATTGTCCTTCCTCACCCACACACACCAAAATATGACAGCTTCAACCCTTTCAACACTCTGCAGGCCTCTATTCTTCTTTTCACGTTTAGATTGTGTGTGTGTCTGGTGGACAGTACAAGTGTGTGCATGTATAGGTGCACTGCAAAACTTTAACACACACACAGTTGCTGGAGTCGCCCAGGGCTGCTGGCAAACTTAACCAACGACTCGTCAATCTGTTTTCAACATAAAAAAATGAAAAAGAGGAAATGTTTCTCTTCCTCTTGGCAGATGGTAGAAGCTGACACCTTTCCCTCAGTGTCCTGGCAAAGAAAATCTGTCTTTTTTTTCAATTTTCTTTTTTTTTTTTTTGAAGATGAGAATATTCCCTTTCTCCTGTCCCCTTTCTGAGCCTCCTTCCTTTCTTTGCCTTCCTCATTAGTCAGTGGGCAGAGCTGCAATTAGGGCAAAATTGTTTCAGGGTGGAGGGAGGGGGAAGGGGAAGGAGGAAATGGGAGACAGTAAGGATGGAGTGAGCGAGCAAGTGAGAGGGAGACAGAGGTAAACAAGAAAGAACAGTTGAAAGAATGTGGCTGAAGAGGAGGAGGTAATTAATGAAGCTGCTATAATTACTGAGGCCTGTTTATGCCAATTTAGGAAGACAGCACACACACACACACACACACACACACACACACACACACACACACGCCTCACTTTTCCACAGCAATAATCTACAATTACTATTTAAAATGCTGGACATGTAAGTTAACTAATGATACAAGCTTTTAATAAGCCATCAAAACTAACAACACTTTCTTATTTCAAAGACTGACTGCAGGAAAACATTAAAAAATGCAAATGATTTAACCTTCAAGGCCAACTTTGAGCACATAATTAGACATGGAGCAGGTTGGTATCGTGGACGCTAAGGTGGATGATGGGACAATAGTGCAGAAAAGGGGGAGAGGAAATCTTGGATGAGATGTGGATATGAAGGGAGCCTGGAAAAGAATGAGACAAAGGTTGGAGAGCAGAGGAAAAGTGGGTGAGACGGTGGGAAAAGAGGGGAAGGGCCGGGAGAGAAAAGGACGAGGAGGGACAAAAAAAGAAGAGGGTAAGGAAAGGTGGTGACGGAGAGAACATATCGACAGAGGACAGATTCAGGAGGAAGGGGGTAGGAAGGAGAGGGAGCAAGGAAAGGGAGGCAAAAGAGGAGGAGGAAGGAGGGGTGAGTGTGATGGGGGACAAACCAAGGTGGAACTCTGATGATGCTAAATTTGGCAAAAGGAGAAGGCGTGTGTGTGTGTGTGTGTGTGTGTGTGTGTGTGTGTGTGTGTGTGTGTGTGTCGGGAGACTTGCTGAATCGGCCCTGGTTCCAGTTTCACGCCTCTGAGTTTGACAGAGGGAGAGAGAGAGAGAGAGAAAGAGCAATAGAGAGAGAGAGAAAGGGTCCCTAGCCAGTAATGTTCCCTCAGGGCGGACGGACGGACGCGAGGTTGGAGGGAGGGAAGGAGGGAGGTGAAGAAAGAGACGGAGGGACGAAAGGGGACAAAGTACCTCCTACCTTTGCAAACACGTTACTGCACAGAGGACCCACATGTTCTTTACTTCAGTCCTCATCAGCATCTTCTACCGATTACGATGACACTGCAAATCTTGAAGATATTTCAACAACTAACCCAAAGAGGTGATATTGATCGATGGTAAATAACACCCTGTCAACCCTAATGCGGATATATTTGCAAAACAAAAGCAAACTCTTCTTGTGATTTGGCCTCTCGTCCACACGCAAATAGAGATATTTACAAACGCCTTCCAAAGTACAGAGTTTCAGTGCATCAGTTTGTAGATGTAAAACAGAGAATTTGGGAAACGATGACATCACAGCTTGCTTCCCACATGCCCTCTGTTACTTTGCGTGATGAGCATGTTTCAGAAACAATAACAATACACCAGTTTCTCTACATTTGGTTAGCAGCGCTCAGTCTAATTACAAGTTTAGCCTCCCTGCATCACATTACCGACATTAACAGGCATCTGCCTCGCTCGATATTACTTTAATCAAAGCGATCTTCTCTGGTAACGAATCGTTGATGTCGACTAGATCCACTTGAATATCGTTATTGGCTCCAATCACATCACAACCGCTGCTGGAGAAAAATGGTTTTTAACCTTGTTTTCCATTTTTGTGCGAAATGCCAGTTCTGTAATACAATTCTTACTGTTCTTGAACCATTTTAGAAACAAGTAAATGTTCCAGTGAGCCTACTGCCACTGAACTGAATTTATTTTTAGGCACAAGTAGGAAAAAGAAAAATGTCCCCCCTTTTTTACCTGTATGCCTTATTCTCCTGTAACAAAAGAATCAAATAAATATACAAAGCCAAAGTTATCATTGCTGTGACACTGGAATCTGGAATTTGTTCATGAGGCTTTATCCTGCTGTGTTCAGAGGTTGGTCATTGTAATGATTTTCCGAGTTAAGTTTGTGTGTTCAAATGTCCTGAAGTTGAATTTCACTCTGAAATTCAACCTAAAAAAAAATAAAAAAAATTGCGTTTGCCATTTGAAGAATTGTTGGCAATCATTTCAAGTTTTATTGATGTGTTTTTGAAAGGCTGAAATATGCAACGCCTCAATAATGCTTCTTAAATTCCTGACCCCAACGTGAACCCTAACCTACAATTCCTAAAAATAAGACCACCCGAAACAAATACACACACACTCATTTGCATGTGTGTGTCTGTTTCCTGGTCAGCTTCTTTACATACACACCTGTGAAAAGCTACCTGACCCTTGTAATGCAAAGCATGCAAAGTACGTGCTATTCATTCTTCCAAAGAAGACACTGTCGTGTCTGTCGTGTCTGTCGTGTCTGTCGTGTCTGCAAATCTTTATACATTTAAGCTTCAGCATTTGTCTCCCTAAGCCAAAAGGGAGAGAGTGTGTGTGTGCGTGTGCTAATGGACATCTAAATGCTGCTGATGTTTCGTTAGGTAGTTTAAGGGCCCTCAGGTCCCCTTGGACCAATATTGGGAGGGAAAAAGTGAGGGAGGGGATGTGACTTCTGCAAATCGCTCTGACAAGGACACCCATGCCTCGAGCGGCGTCCTCTTTCGCCTCATCGAACACACACACGCAAACACGCGCACATGCGGCGACTTCCACACCTCAGCACAATCGTGAAGTGACTGTTGCGCTCCGAACAGCTGACTTAGTAGAGGACGCTGGCGCGAGTGTGCGTCAGCTGTGTTGAATTCTGTTTTAATTCAGGTTTTTGAGAAAAAGATTTTCTTGAATGATTTCGGAAAATTATAGATACATCTTTACGCACGCAGGCTTCCGTGCTTACCTCAAAGTCATTGGCCTTGTTGTAGTGCATGTTGAGGGCCCTGAACAGCTCGGCGTCGCGGCCCACCGTCATGTCCTCTGCGGCGGTCACGCCCTCGTTGATGGCCTGCCGGGCGAACTTCTCCATCTGGATGTAGTAGAATTCCCGGAAGTTGCTGAACCACTTGATCAGCTGGGAGGTGATGCAGCGATTGAACTGGAACAGCACACACAGAATTGATAACATTCTTAAATGTACTATACATTTAACTTAACAATTTGTGTTTGAATTCTAGTGTGTTCATTTGTGTTCGTGAAAGCAGCAGTATGGAAAAGTCATTCTTTGGTGCAATGCATTCTGGTCGACTGAGGCGGCTCGGTAGTAGTTTTTTCCTGACACCAAATCCTGATGTTTAGTGTTAAATTATTTTCTGTGAAACCATATATAATTTAAAGGGCTGAGGGCAAATTAGAAGCTTTATAAGAGATTTTAAAACGTATCTTAACAAGTTTCATCTTCATTTTGTGATGGAGAAGTTTTGTACGTCTGATGCTTGCTTTGGTACTTATTTACATGCTGATATATCATAAAAGGCAGTTATAACTCTTCTCTCCACGGCAGTACTTGAAATCTTCAACACTGAGCTGCGGTCTCATCCACATATTGCTGAAAGGACAGTTTGACTTCTTTCTGTAACAATGATCTTCTGCTTATTTCTATTTCTCTTCTTAAGACAGCACGGTCAATGTATAATTTGTCAATTTGAAATCAAGCAATTTTAGTTTTCGAGAGCAATGTGGTTTAGTCTCATCCTGATTTTGCTCATGATGAATAAGTAAGAGAAAAAACTTTGTAATATAATTCCTTTTCTCCACCTCATTAGTCACTTAAGCACCTTGGGGGGAAAAACACAGCCCCTAGAGAGCATCCTAATCAAACAAGAGCTCATATTAACATATATTTTGTTATTGTGGCATCGTGGGCTTTTTAGACTGAGCAGAGGCAACATTAAACAAACATCATCAAACACAGTTTCTACCCTGCAGGTCTTCACCAAGCACGCCTGACAAAATAGGACAATTACTTTGTTCTCATGAAAGTAAAGTTTAAAAAGTTTTGAATAATGGAATATTTGAAATTTTACTTTTACGTTTAAATATAAGTGACATGAACGGACATGAAACATGTTACAGTCAACTATAGGAAACATTTATACATTTTGTCTCCACCTAAATATCACATGTATTAATGAGGATAATAGTGGATAGTGTCAAAGTACAACTAAATGAATGAAAGTAAAAATAAATTCATTATTATATTGCTAAAAAATCTTAACTACATTTAAATAAACCCTTTAAAGGGTTTCCTAATAGTTGAGTGTGTGTGTGCCCTCTTTCACTCTCTTCCTCATAAGAAGCAAAACATGGAGAAAAAAAACTACAGCGAGGGCCCAGTGAAAGTGTGTCTGTGTGTGTGTGCGGTGACACGGAGATTAAGCTCGGTATTGTTACAAGACATTGTCTCACAGGAACAAGGGATGAGCGAGAGAGATGGGGAGAAAGAAAGGAGGAGACAGAGAGAGATAGAGATGGATGGAGTGAGGCAGCATGGAAAAAGGAATGCAGCGAAAGAGTGAGAGAGAGAGAGAGGAGCAGAGGATGATGGAGAGGGAAAGAGATATTTTTTCAGGAGGGGTGACATAATGGAGCATAATTTGGTGTGTGTGCAGCAGAGAGGAAAGAGAGTTGTTTTTTACAAAGCTCGGTGTGAAGAGGGGAAAGTGTGTGTTTATCTGTGTGTGGTGGGGGGGGGGTGCTCTGACCCACAAAAAGAGTTGCACGAAAGGAACGTGATAACTCAGCAATTATAACACACAGTTACACGCACGCAGGAGACGATGTCATCTGTCGATGTGCAAACGGCCACCTGACACGCAAACAACATATGTACACACATCAACCCAAGTGAAAATAATGGAGACTCTACATTATTATAGACTTTTATGTACAGACTTTCAGACAATATACTGCAACAGCCTCTGTTACAAATAAATAATATATACAGTAATTGCAACTAATTAAATTCAGAAAAGGTGAAGGCGTGGGATAAGGCATAAGCATTGTCAGATAACAAATTTGTTTGCTCTCATTTTTCCCACAAATAAGAAAAGCAAACAATTCGTTTTTTACACTTTATGTTTATTTCCATCTGCTTGAATCTAGTTCATGGATGAATCCTCAGAAACGTCGCCGGCCATCGGAGCAACATCGCTCATGCCGCTACCTAGTTTGCATTTGCATTGTGTGGCCCATGACACCATTAGTGACCGTGACCTCTTTTCCTCGCCCCTTAATGCTGAGATTAGGGCTGATACTATGAGCTAATCAGCCAGGTAGTTAAGTGACTGAAAAATAATCATCAGCAACAGTCGGGATAATTGATAAATCGTTAAATTCTGTAGCAAAAATGCCGTAATTTTCATAGATTCTGGTTTCTCAAATGCAATTTTATTTATTCTTCTTATTTGTTTGTTTGGGTAAAATGAATATATTTCAAGAAACATTTGAAGAAGTCACTTTCATGTATTACTGGACACTTTTATTCAATTTTTGTAGTTTAAAACTGTTTTTTCTGCCCACACTTATATATACTATGGGCTCTATATCAGTGATCTGAGTGCGTGTAGAGCATGTTCAAATTCACTTTTATTAGTTTTATGGCAGGAAAAAAGTTTCCTGCACCAGGTGCATGGTTCACAAGGGTCGTGCTTCACAATCACGGGCGTGTGCAATCTCGGGGCGGATTGCTATTTTAATGGTGGATTTGCCAGGGAGTCATTTAGAATGCTTCTCTGGAGAGGAAACGCATCTGTGAGCAGATCATCCTCGTTTTCAGACAAACACCCATTAGACCTCAGACGGGTGCAACCGCATTTGCTATTTATACAAAAGGCTTGTAAGATGGGGACATCGGATTGGGGGTCTGTGTTGCAGTACTATGCTTGTCCACTAGGTCAAAGTCGCTGCACGCTTGACTTTGCTTAAATTAAATTAACTCCTTTCGTCTGATGTCTTTTCTGTCTTTCTGTATGTGGTTTCTGTGTACATTTTCAGATAGCCCATATTTCAGGAACGACTTCACTTGCAGACAGAACTGGGGAATACAAACACGCATGCACCCAACCATCCCACCACCTACCCTTCCACCCACCCACTGTCCCATCCAGCTCATCACAATCAGCACAACTGCCCCCCAAAAGAGACAAAAGACGGACAGAGAATGGAGATGGGTGGTGGTGGTGGGGGGCAAAACGCTGAGTTAGAGGAATGCCATTTTCTGTTTACAACGAAAAGGGGAAAAGAGAGAGTGTCAGAGAAAGTGTCATGGTGCCCTAACTCCCCTCTCGTTCCCTTGATGGTGGGTGTTGTCAACCCCCTGCGCACCCACCCCCAGGCCATGTTGGAAGGGCAAACGCACACATCCTTTAAGAATCTGCCCGCCACTTTAACCAGAATCGTTGTAGCTCGGCACAATTTAGAGGACAGTGTGGATGTGCAGAATCAACATAAATCACTGGGCTCTAACACTGAAGGTTTCCTGTGGATGCGGGAGGAATAGCTGCTGTAGTAACTTTATTTGAATTATGTTTTAGGGCATTTCTGCTTCACTCAACAGCAGAGTTGATTTTCTCCGTGTGCGAGACAGAAAGGGGAAGAGAAATTATCAGGCAGTTTCAGGCATAGTGTACAAAGTCATAGTTTATAGTAGCATTTAGGTTTGTGTATTTGTTGCGTGCTGGATGGACCAAATAATTGGCTTGACATGAAAATAAAAACAAATTGTAGGTTATCATATATTGTCAGTAGGGCTGTGACAGTATGGGATTTTTCTCCCGGCTGTGATACGTGTCATCGGACAAACTCAGACTGGGTAAAAACAACAGTATTTGTACACAGAGTATGCAGAGCTGGAGGAGAAAGAGGGGCGCACAAATAATATAGACACAGAGAGGAGCAGTAAATCACTGACAGAGCTGGTAAAATCTATAAAATACCTTTTTTACGGTCCAAACATGTATGAAATTACCCTAAACTGAACACTGTAAGTGGACTGATCACTGTAACCAAATTATGCCACCTCTGCCCTAATTTCGACCAGGAAAAACCCTGCATATGCACTCCTGTGTAGAATTGTATACAATTAAGTGTGAAAGAAATACATGTTTAACTGTTTTTCTTGTTAAGTTTACAGTTAAAAACCTCCAACCCCTAATCAAGATCACATTCTTGCAAAAGAAATAATAATAATAATAAGAAAGCCCTGTTTTAACAGTTTCCATTTAAAGGCAGTCATTTTAATGCTTCACATCTCTGCTCTCACACCAGTGCACGCTGCGTCTCAACAATCTGCTCGATTCATAAAGGCTGCAACATTCCTCCTTGATGGTTCTCATCTTGAGAAAACACTTAAAAGTCGCAATTACTCAAGTTCAGTTACATTCGTATCGGCAGATGAGCTGCTGCTGCCTCCGATCCTGACGTTGCCAAATTGGCTGTGTAACTCTAATTGACAAGGCGGGCGAGTGGCGGGCAGGATGCTAATTGATTCCAGCTGAGACGGAGATGGCGAGTCTTCATTCCAGCCTCTCAAGATGAGTCGTCAGTGCTCTCTCTCCGATAACTGTGTCACTGTTATGAGTGGGTGTTTGTTAACGAGAGTGTACAGTTACTCTCCGATGGGAGCGAGTGTGTGTGTGTGTGTGTGTGTGTGTGAGCCAATGAGCGTCTAATTAATCCTAACTCCTTCAGTCTTTACGCGGTCTTAATTACTCTCACTGACTCTCTCAAGACGAGACGGTGGTGACCTCAGCGTCTCATGCTAACACGTATGATTGTCTGGTCAGAAGGCAAGAGCTTTCACTGTGCAATTAGGATCTGTTGTGTGTGTGTGTGTGTGCGCATGCTTGCTCATCTGTGCCTAAAACAGTTGTCAGCTCAACCCACTTCCCACACGGAGCGAGGCGGACATTGTGTGTAAGAGGCTCATCTTTAAGAACCAGTTTCCCATAGACAAAGTCCATTCAAGTCCAATTAAGGGAAGCCATTCAGGGCCCTAATTCCCTTACAGTGAATCTGCCTGATCCTCCTAACACATGCTACTTATTGTTCCCTAGGAAGGAAGGAGGAGCGGGGGAGGTGGAGTAAGAGAGTAGGGTGAGAGAGAGAGAGCGAGAGAGAAAAAGAAAAAGAGACATTGACCCGGATTTTGGAAATATGGTAATGATGAGGGTAATGAATGCAATGGGACAATGAAACAGGACACACACGTACACAGACAGACAGCAACAGGGTGCTCTCTCTGCGCACATACACACACACACACACACACACACAAACACACACCCAAAGCCTTGAAAAGAACAGCATTGTTCATCACAAATAGGATTATCCATGATTCATTTTTTTATTAAGCAAAATAATATCTGGAGAGTTCCTCCCACATATAAATATGATGGATTAACTGGGATTATGACTCAATTAAAACTAAATTGGACTGTACCACAGTATTTGCATGAAAATGAATAACAAGAAACCATAATTTTCCATAAAGGATAAAAGCTAGATGCTAAATGCTAGACACATTATGTTTAATGAAATTACAAAATCAAAAAATATCAAATGTGTTTTCTCACGCAGCTGAAAATAGTCTAGAAAAATGCAAAATGTACTGAAAATGACAGTATTCAGCTGTTTTATTATTTTGATTCATTTTAAATTGTTTGAACCATTGGATTTGAAATGTAAACTAATAGTTTTAGGCGTGGCTTTTTTTCTTGACGCAGGAAACAGACTCTTTGTATACGAGAAGTATACCTCATAAAAAATAAATACCAGTTGCCTTTAAGGGACAAAGAATAGTGTCAGTAATTCTTTTCATCTAGTAAAACCTCCACTCTTTTGTTTTAAATTGGGATAAATGTGCTGATGGTCAGGGTTTGTGGATGCTAATCCGAGAGAGGGCCCAAGGCGAAGTCAACATTAGTCAAATAAAAGAAAAATTGCCACACGCACTCTCGATTCAGATACATGCCAGACGGATTCACAGGAAATAGTTTCCTAACTTTTTAACCAAGTTACTGCTAATGCGAAGGGCATCAAATCAAAATCTGATTTTCTTTGTCTACAGGCTGTGATGCAATCTTTAAACCACAGACAATACATTCCAATAGAAAAACGTTTTCATTCCTTTAAATCCCACTTCCAGTTTCGCTGCAGCACCGTCCATCTGCTGAGTGAAGTGTCGGACCAAAACACTGCAAACATCTCCTAATCTAAATCCATGTTGTGGAGATGAAGAGATTAATTGAATATCAGTTTGGATATAAAGCCACAGATTGGAGACTAGATTAATTTTAAAAGCCAATATCAATCTCCAAAAGCCTACATGTATTAACTCATTAGTCCTAATTTGTCCTTTTTTCAAATTAAACCCTGAAGCCACAGCGTATCTGGCCACGTAAATATTAAGCATATTTACTCACATAATAGGAACCATGATTTAGACAGGGAGAGTAAGCTGATTATGGAAAATTATCAATGTCAGCACATGACAGTTTTAAACAGTTTTCCTTTTTCTTTCCCCCTGTAACTGAAGGTTAACTAGGCTTTTCATAATAAAGTACATTTGGGATATGCAATCATGTTAAATCTCATAATAAATCTCAGTAAATTCTGAATTCTTTTCATTGAGAAACTTGTTTCCCGTTACATTTTCTGAAGAAGTGAAGATTGTGAAAAAACATCTATTGGTTTTATTCAGTGCATACATTGCTGTCAAAGGTGATGTGACAGAACATTTTTTAAATTAAAGACTTCTTTCAGGATGAAGAGCGCCTGAAATGTCACATTACAATCTTCTTTTAAGACATTCATATTTAGAGTGCAGTTTTATGTAAGAAAAACTAAGATAAAATGTCTTTTCAGATTTATTCTTTTAGTTTAGTTTCTGTATAACAGTTGAATTTTTTATGATTTTCGGTGCCTGATCATTATTAAACTGGGAAAAAAGCATCCCCAACACTTTGGCAATGACGTTAAAAAGTTAAAAAGAAGTTAAAAAGTTTCAGGCCGAGTTTGGATCATCATCATTCCCCACTTGTATAACTGGATACTATAATACCTGTTTCATCCCCTCATTCACTCTGAGTTAATGACAAATTGGACTTGCATGTACTGGGAGCAGGTAGGCTTAGCACCCTTGTGTTTGCCTAGCAACCTGGTGTCCCAGCGACCCTTGTTGCCATGGCACCCAATGAGGATGTGGCACTGCCATGAGGAAGTGATCACCACAGACATGAGCCAAAGGGCAGCTGGTGTGTGTGTGTGCGTGTGCGGCTGCTCATTTGAATACAGTGTCCTGAATCCGTCGAGGAGCCGTATGCTCCTTTACAAAACACATAGCAGCCTGTAAACACAAAACAATCAGCGCCTTTGTTTTAAAGCTGTTGTTCTGTTGTCATCCCTTTCATTTGTTTGTCCGCCCCTCCCCACATTCTCGCCATCATTTTCTCAAAACACGCAATCGCACGCACACACTTTGCGTCGTCTCCAACCTCCCATCTAACTTCCTATACTTCCTTTATTTATTTTCTGATTTTATTTACTTATTTACTTTTTTTTTTACCTGTGCATCCTGTCATCTTAAAGTCTTTTTTCTGTGTTTAAACAGTTTAACTTTTCATTTATTAGAGAGAGACAGTGAAAGTGTGTTTTGGGTGAAAAGGAGATAGTGGTAAAGGTCTGTGGTGTGTGTGTGTGTGTGTGTGTGTGTGT